GCACACAGATACTCGTTTTGGCCATTGCTGTTGATTGCTGTTGTTGCTGTTCGCCCTTCTGGCCAATTTGCTTATTGTTCGCCTTTTGGCTTCGTTTTCCTTGTGCCTTCAACTGTTTGCCTTTTGAATTTTCCATTTAGCTTTTCTCTCTCCACTATATATTATATATATATATATATATATTTTTTTTTTTTTTTGTGTGTCAAACATGCAAAACATCACAGGCAGCAGGCAGAGTCTGCTCTGGAAATTAATAGAAAATGGGTTGAGAGAGAATGCGTGCTACTGGGAAAGCCTGTCACATGTTGTCATATATGGAATATGCGGAACAATAAAGGCGAGCAGCGGGAGATAAAGGATCATAAAAAGGAGGCGAAGGATAAGTAGGAGAAAAGTTGGCAAAAATCGCTTGCGTGATTCCATTGAAAGTTTATGACGGGCAAATAAATGACAACAGCAATCTGAAAGTCGGCGGCGGCGGCGGTCGTAAAAAAAGATGAACGACAAACTGTCGCTAAATAAATCGCTGCTGACGTCGTCACTTCGCCCACTTTCCTACTGCCATTTTCCCCGGCATTTCCCCCAAACATTGCCCTCCTCAGTTGGCGCACTTTCTTCGCTTTTGGTTTCGCCAGTGTTTTCTTTTATTTTTCTTTTGCAATTTTTGTCGCAGCGCTCAATAAATAAATAAATGCAAGAAATAAAGACAAAGAGGCAGGTGAGGGCTGCGATTTGTGAGTCTGAATCCTGTGACTGGGATTATACTTTGTAGTTTTTCTGTTTCAATGTGTCCTTTAAGAAAAAAAAAATTTTTGTAATGTTTTTTAAAGGTATTTATATATACAATTTAAAAAAATATATATATATTTAGATTAATTTAAATATAAATTATTTATATATATCTCTAGGTTTTTTAAAACCCCCAAAAAGGTGTAGAAATATTTTCAGCACTGCAACATTTTGTAGCCTGTTTTTTGGGGCATTTTCAGGGGCTTTAGGAACCCAAATTATTTCTTAAACCTCCCCTCAAAAATATTATATATTTCCTTTAAATGTATTTAATAATTTAAATTTTAACTAGAATAAAATAATATTTCTCCAAGAAGAACCTTTCATATAATTAAACTCCACCAAAAATATATTATTTATCCTTTAAATATATTTTATAATATATTTAAAATTTAGTGCCTAATATTTAACTAGAATAAAATATTAAATCCCCAAGAAAACCTATAGCCGTTACCCTTCCTTTTCGAAATATCCTGTTGGCAGCACGTCTTCTGCTTTCCCGATGACGTCAGTGGGTCTCTGGGGCTGGTTCATCAAAGGGGGCCTAATGGATTCCATAGCCATCTTGGCCATCTAGCCTGCAGTGCGACCTGCGACCTGCTACCGGCAACCTTCGGGTGGCGGTGCTTAGTGCCCTAGGAGGGGGGAAGGCTGGCGAGGGGTGGTTTTGGGGCTAGTGTTAGGGGCACATTATGCATGCAGCTGCCGCAAAAAAAAAAAAAAAAAAAAAAAAAACAGCAGCGAAGACGAGGCACATGCAACTTTTACTTTCATTTGCTTTGTGTTTGCTTCGTGCTTCGATTTGCCGGCGGCGAGTTCAAGGTCGCTGCCGCAAGGGGAAGGTGGGTGGGGGTTGAAGAAAGTAAACGCTAATTGGTGGTTGAGATTTTTATAGCATACTTTTCAGCGTTGGCCCAGGAAATAAGGCAGGAATAATCGTAGAGGAGATTTAAATAATCCGGCAATAGTTTTAATAAGTCCTTCAGGGGTCAGCTAATTAATAATTAAATTAATTTGCAGCTTTAATAAGAAAATCCTCGCCACCTATCTAGGTCACTGCCCCAAGGTTCTGCTCCCCTTTAGCGCCTATCACCAGAGTTTATGTTTTAAGTACTGGGTAATTGCATACTTCTAGGCAGCAATTGAATTGCTTTGAAATCGTGAAAGTTATTCAGCGAAAGTAAAGGGCAGGCACTGGCATCAAATAATTAATAATTACCCGTCATTAGTTGAGGGCACAAGAAATCAGAAATAAAAATGCAAATCACTTGGCATTGGGCCAAAAAAAAAAACACACAAACACAAAGCCAATTGCATTGTGTGGGGTAAATGATATTGTTTTTTGTCGCCCTCGCCAAAAGGATTTTACTCAAGGCATCAGCAAAAAAAAAAAAAAAAATAGGAGAACATATTGAAGGAGGCCTTTGAGTTGACAAAGATTGGTCGCCCTTAAAAGTTATTGCCAAAATAAGATAGTAAGCTATAAGAGAACTAGTAATATATAGTATAAAAATACAGTATAAATTGGTAAATAAATATATAAATTTACACTTCCCCTTAATATCATAATTAATTTATTCTTAAAAAACAAAAAAAAAAAGTTGATTTTTTTGGATACCCTTTCCCTTGAAATATATATTTTTTTTCTGGCGAGAATAAGAATAGTTGCCAGCAAGTTGGCCACTCCGTTCGCTTATCGCTGTGCAAAGATCGCCACAAAGGCCATGTTACGAAATTATTGGACACACTCACACACTCACGCAGCAGGCTGTATATATATATATGTGTGTGTGTGTGTGTGGACATGCAATGCAAATAGTCAACACGCCGCCACATGCCGTGCACACAAATCAAGGGCAACATGTCTCATTCCGGGTTTGAGTCCGGGTCCGGGTTCGGGTCGGAGCAGGGTTAAGGGTGGCAATGGATGGCGGGGGTGTTAAGGGAACAAGAGGAGGCGGGTGCTGGGGACGAGGTCGCCTTGCCGGGCAATTTAAATGGCGGCTACATGTCGCAACGCTGGCGTCGCGTGTTCTCGCTCAACCTCTCTCTCCTCTCTCTCTCTCTCTCTCTCACTTTCCTTTCGCACTCTTTCTCTGCCTTCGTTAGCTCCATCATCTACCTCTCTCTGTCATTGCACCGTGAGAAAATTCAAATTACTGCAAACCCAAAAAAAATAGCTAAGGGTCCTTTTTTTACGAGTTTGAAATATAGATTCAATTTGAGAAATTAAAATTAAAAAAAAAACAACCTTAGGTTCTAGATCAACGAATGTTTTTTTTTTTTTTTTTGTTTAAACCATTTACAATTTTGTAATAAATAATAATTAAATGGTAAGTCAAAATATATGTGACTTTTGAAAATCATAAGAAAAAGATTTGAAATATATAGTTAAAGATTTTGTAGGTTTCTATTTTCCCTAAAATTATATAAAATTATAAATGAATTTTTAAAATAAAAGTATGCAGATTTATTAATCTATTAAAAACCAACTCAAAACATTTTTCCGAATTGAAATAAAAGCATTTTTGGCCAAGTTATGATTTGATCAATAAAATTTTATATTTTCAATAATAAAAAAAATAATAATAATAATAATAATAATAATAATAATAATAATAATAATAAATAAATAAATAAATAAATAAATAAATAAATAAATAAATAAATAATAATAATAATAATAATAATAATAATAATAATAATAATAATAATAATAAATAAATGATATTAAAAATAGGTAACAGGCCAGAAACCCCATTTCATTTTCAATTTATATTTTTCCCCATTAATATTTCTCTCAGTGCTTGCCTTTTTTGTCGCCCACGTGTTGGCCAAATCTATGTGTGTGTGTGTCTGCGTGTGTGTGCCTTGCCAATTAACTGAAACTGCAGAGTAATGTTTGGGGCCAAGTCAGTACTCCCGATTTCAGCCCACTCCCACACCCACCCCCACTTCCCCCTTCATTATAATATTCGCTTCTGTTATTGTTTTCCCGCTGCTTGTTGTTTGTCGCTTCTGGCATTGACATAAATTCTTTTTTAGCAGCAAAGCAAGCGAAAAAAAAAGCAGAGCAACAAAGGGCACAGCTCACAGGCGGCGACACGCAAGCCACATTAAAGCAATTCCACACCACCACCCAGGTCCACACCCCCCTCGAGCCAGTCAAGGCATTACATAAAAGCGGTAAATACATATATATATATATATATAGCATATATATATATGGATAAAACCAAAGTCTAGCTGGGCAGATCCTCGAGAGCAAACGCTGATTTTAGCTGACCTACGGCAATTAACAGAAGGGACTTCAGGGGGACTTCAGGGGGACTCGGTGGCGTATACGCAATGCGAGACTTAGGGGCGGACGCTGACTTATGGTGGCTCCAGTTAGACGCACAGATGACTATGCATACATTTTCCCTATATATATATATATATCTTACTTTACACTAGTTGTTATTTTTTCCCTTTTTTCGGAGCTGGCGCCGTCTACTGTCTGTTGATTCAGATTCGGTTATAGATTCTGGATTCCGTTTACGGCTTCTGTGTGTGTCTGCCTTTGGGGCATTGACTTGGCGGCAACTTGGCTCTGTCTCTCACAGACTCATTCACAGTCTCCTGACCCCAAAGTGACGACAACGACGACGACACACACACAAATTGCCAGAATTTTATTGTAATTTTTGTTCCACTGTTGCGGAAATTACGCATACGCCTCGAGGGACCGAGGGAATCTGAAAACTAAAGCTGAATTATACCCAAGCGACAAAGAAACAATTAGACGGGGAACTTGAATAACACTTCATTAAATATATATATAACAAAAATATATTATAAATATATCTCTAGGGATTTCTCTGCTTTCTCAGGCTTGATTCAGTTTTATAAAGCATCTGAAACTGTAAGTATTATAGATTTCTTAAAATTAAATATAAAAAAAGGAAGCTGAAAGAGGAATGCAAATAGTTCTTCTTCGTTGGCTTGCTCTTGGAAAAGCATAGGAAAAGCGTTGGAAAAGCATTGGCAAGCATTAAGCAAAGCGACTTTCAAAACTAATTAAAAACTAAGTATTTGCAGGTATTGATAATCTTTTTATTCAAATTTTTACAAACTTAATGAAGCGAATAAATGGCAGGGCGTAAATCAATAATTAAGCTTTCTTTCTGTTTTTTTTTTTCTTTTTCTTTTTTTGCTATAATTTTTTATTCTCATTTTTTAAAATTCTTTTTCTTTGTGAGGCTTAAGTGGCTTAAGAGCTGCGGGTGCTGGATTTGGTTTTGTGATGTTTGGGTACTTCTCATAGGGATTCTCTGGCTGCTTCTCCTTCTTCTTCTGCTGGGCGGGCGTGCTCTTCCTGGGACGATTCATCAATGGATCATCCATGGTGCGGGACGATTGTTGACGTGCCTGTGCCGGTGGTCCTGGTGGCTTCTTTTTCTTTTTCTTCTGCATCTCCGGCTGCAGAGGATTAAAGTTGACGAACTGCAGGTGCTGTTGTTGCTGCTGCATTTGCTGTTGCTGCTGCAACTGCTGCTGCTGCTGCTGCTGCAACTGCTGCTGCTCTCTGCGTTCCAAAAAGGCTGCATTCGCCGATGCCACTGTGGCTATCCTCTGCTGCTGCTCTAGATCTTCCAGCTCCTTCTCTCGCTTCTTGGTCAGTTGCATCAGCTGGGAGCTGCGTCTCCTCAGAGCTGCCGCATAAGGCGTCGATGGGGTGGCGGTCACATTTGTGGGCATTTCGCCCACACCAAACAAACGGCGTATGCGCCGCCGGCTATTGATGAAGCCCAATCCCAGCTGGACACCCAGACCGAGTCCCGCCGGGGCCGTTGAGGTTGTCTGGCTGAGGGAACTGCCCGTGCCCGTACCAGTTCCCTCACTACCGCCGCCCAGCATCTGGCTAAAGTTGCTGTCCAGATCACAGCTGCTGGCGGAATCGGCGCCGCAGGGAAATAGATATGTGTTTAGGGTGCTCAGTGTGGTGGAGGTAGAGGTTCCATTTCCGGTTCCTGTCAGAGTTCCATTCAGGGTTCCTGTTCCGGTCATTCGACTTATGGCACCTGTGCTGCTTAGGGTATCTGCTGCTGATGTTGCTACTGCTGCTGCTGCTCCTGATGTTGCTCCTGCTGCCGATGTTGTTGCTTTTTGTGGCAGTGGCAACATCACTGCTGTGGAGCCACTGGCACTGCCGTTGGTGCTGCTGTCATAGCTGTGTGGATTCACATAGATGTGGTTGTTGTTACTGCTGCTGCTGCCAGTGGCTCCTGTTGCGGCAGGAGTTGCCTGTGCTGAGACCATGCTACCCGTGTTAACCACCAAGGTGGTGCTGTGGCTGGTGGTGCTGCTCTCATGGTGATTATTGTTGCTGGCCTGCGGCAGGTGGCCATTATTGTTAAGGTTGCTCAGGTTGACCCTGTACAAGCTGGTGCTGTTGCTGTTTGCATTATTGTTGTTGTTATTGTTGCTGCTGCTGCTGCTAGCCGGTGCAGTGGCAGGTCGGGATAACCGGGTTCCGTTTCCGGTTGGAGCGGTATGGGCTTCCGCTCCGGCTGATGTGGCCGCTGCTGCTGCTGGCGTTGCTCTTGGCTCCTGGTCATTGCCATTATTGCTGCTCATTGCTGTTGCTTTTTAGGGGAGTTTTTATTTGGTTGTAATTATTGTTTATGGAACATTGTCTACTTTTGATTAAGTTTGTTTTTTAATTATATATTTATAAAATTTTGAATTGGAATTAAAACTGTAACTTTAAGAGTTAGTTTATTATTGGAAACTCTACTTTAATGATTTTATAAGGTTTCATTTTTTATGTATTTCACAATCTAAGTAAGTTGTTTTAATTATTTTCTGTAACAGTTATTCTTGGCTTTAAAATTGTTATATTTTTCCCGAATTTTTCACACTTTAATAGCTTTTTTAGGAAGCCGCCTCGTTCTCTTACAAAAAAATCACACAAATATTGGGGGCTTTGTTGCTTGGAACGCATCCAACTTGCGAGTTGAATGCACTGCTTCGGTTATTTGTCACTAAAAGAAAATGCTAGTTAGCTAATCGCACTGTTTTCCATGGCAGTTTTCCATGCACTTTCCACTCGCAAAAAAATGAAAAATTCTCTTAATTTAATTCAAGCCTAACGGGTCACACACTAAAACTTGAGCACTTGAACAAAAAATTCGGTTTCCTCGGGCAGTTTTTCGTTTTTAATTATTATAATTTTTGGTGTTTGTTAATTAATGTTTCTGTTGTTAACTTTTTGTTAATTTTTTTGTTAATTTTTTTGTGTTATCAGTCAGAGCCACGTGCTTAACGCGCCGCGTGTCACAATTGTATGAACTTTGTGCCGCGTTGTTGACAATGCCAAAAGCCAACAGCAGCAGCAGCAGCAACGAAGTTGCCACACGCACACACACACAGGGGAGAGTCCTTCAGAGGGAGAGCGAAAGAGAGCGAGTCCTGGCGATAGAGACAGCGAGAGAGCTCGCTCTGTTAACTGGGCTTCCTGGCTTCCTGGCTGGCCGGGACAAACTACTCGCCAAGCAGCGCCGCAAAAAAAATCCACAAAAAATGAAGAGGAGGCCAAAACCAGAACCAAACAATCGGCCAGAAATCTAAGCCAGCAGCACCACTTGAGCCCCGTCGTATCCTCGTGCATGTATATCCTTTATATAGTATATGCCTGGCAACGATGAGGAATCGTTGTCGTCGTTTCAATTTCGGCCAGTTTCGGTTCAGTTGGGTTCACTTCATTGCTTAACTTAACTAAATGCTGCAGATGGCGGTAACACACACAGGCACACCACACACACTGCCGAACACACACATATGCTGGCAGCACGACTTTAACTCAACTTGCAAAAACAACAAAGGCCAAAGCTCGCGAACTCCAACTGTGACTGTGTGGTGAACAGTCGTGGCCAGCAATTTATATACAATAAGCTATCTATAGTTCTTTATATAATTTTTATATTTTATACTATTTTTTTTACTATTTTTAATATTATTTTCTACATTATTTTTTAAACCTTTTCTGAAGCAGCCTGATTATATATATTTCATATAATTCTTTTTAATTTTATATAAAAATATATTATTATTCCATAATGCTTTTCATTTTCATTTCATTTTTATAAATAAAAGCCCTATTAGTTTGCCCGCCACTGTGAGCTCTTGAGCCAGTGTGAGTGCAACTCTGACAGCCGAGGGCAACATTTCAATTCGGCTTCGTGCCGTTGTCGTTGTAGTTGTCGTCGTCGTCGTCGTCTGTGAGGCAGTCGCTGTCGCGATGTTGTCGTTGTCGCGTTCGTCATTTTCGTAGTTTGTTTTTCTCGCTTGCTGCTCCCTCGGTTTCGTAACAGTTTCAGTGTACGTGTCCATGTGTGTGCGTTTGCCTGACGATTAATGTTAATGTGTGTGCAGCAGCAGTGCACTTGGAGGAATTGGATTAAGAGAAGAGAAAGTCCACTTAATAACTCCCTAATTAATATTAATATAATATTTATAATATTATTTTAATATTGTATATTTCAATTATTTATTAGTTAAATATTGTATATTAACATTTTAAAGGTAAAAGTTTAAGGCTCACAGCGACGCCTCTGCCTGCTTTTGCCTTAGAATTCTCAATAGGCTGGCAATGAAATTAGTTTAATCAAGGATACACTCTACTCAAATGTAGTATAAACTTTAAGGGAATATATTTCAATTTAACAAATAATTTTATATATATTTTTTGTTTCAGTGTAGGCTGGTAAATTATATGCAGCCCGACCTCGACCAGAGGTTGAAAAGCGTTCAATTCTGAGCCTTCTCAAGGGCAATCATCCATACTCCTTTTAAAAGCATTCAAAAGAACAAATTATGTTCGGAATTTCCTCTGAGATAAACTCTATTTGAGCCTGTGATATAACTTAAAAAGTTCTTAATTATTAATGCTTAAATAATTTCCTTTAATATTTCCCCAACTTCCCCATTCAACACTTGCAAGTTGCTACTTAAATAACACCCATTTGTATTCTGAAATCAAATTCAAATTTAAATTCCAATATCATTTTCATATGTGAGCCACAAGCTACAAGCAAGGACGAAGGACAATTGTTGCCGGGCATTGCATGTGCACTTGCAATTTGTCGAAGGCAAAGGGAGCAACATGAAGCATATGACGCATACGCAATGTTGGACCATGGATCATGGCCGGCTCTTTGTTCTTTATTATTATCCGTTTCTGTTGTTGCCATGCAAATTGCCCCAACTTGGCTTGGCCTGGCCTGGCCTGGCCCAGTGTCAGTGGTTCGGTGACCAAGGGGGGTTAACAGTGGCAGGCGACCATGTGGCAAAAACTGAACCCAACACTGAGCACAAAAATTCAAGAAACTTAGGCTTTGAATAAAAAAGAAAGTATCCGAGATTTTCCTGATTTTCTTCCTAATCTTTAATATTTATTACTAATTATTACCCAAAGACATACAAATAGAATCTTTTTCTTTCCAAAATATAAGGAAAACTCCGACTTTTCTTTGCCTGTAAAACTAGAACTTAACTCAGCTGGTGCTGGTAACCTTCAGGGCTAATAAGCAGTCACGGCACGTGAGAGGAACATGGCGAAAGTCAAGCGTTCTCCAAAATATTATTGATCAAATGTTTGCCCTGGCTCATGTGACGCTGACAATGGTGAAGCCTCCACGGAGACAACTAGCCGGAAAACAAACAAATAAATAAATCGAGAAGCCACCCACAGATGCAGCTGCGGGATCTTGCCCAGCTGGAAATCTCATCTAGATGGATGGATGGATGGATTGAGGGATGGTTGGTTGAGAGGAGACTTCACTTCGGCTTCCCCCTTTGGCCAAGTCATCTGCCTTGAAGGCTGACAAAACGATTTGCATGCTAAAAATAACAAAATTGATGGCATTTCCTCGCTGTGCGTGTGTGTATGGAAGTCCAAGAGAAAATGCAGGGAAAGTCGGTGAAATTACGGAGAAATTTTTGCGGCTAACTGGTCATGGCCACGATGAAGGCGACAACAAAACAAAGGCAAATCAATTAAAAAATGCTTCGTGGAAATATATTTATATATATATATATATATACTATATATATAGAGACGACAAATAACCGCAAAAGAAAGCAAAACACAAACGGAAAATGACTGAGAGAAAGAAAAGCCAGAAGGCGAAAAGTGCTGGGCAAATATTTCCGCTTCACGTCAAGGTTGTGGCAATCAAAGCCAGGGGTCGGAGTTGGCCTGATGGGATTGTTTCGTGCCGTCCAACATATCCGCTTTGCCACTTCAACTGCCAACTTTGGAACTCCTTTCAATTGGCCCAAATAAAAAAAAAAAGAAAAAGTTAAAGGGAAAATAAATAAATCCAGGACAAAGTCTGCAAGGATTCCACAAGAAAGAACAGAGAGTAACAGGGATTTTCTTTAAGATATAATACGGGATATACATTTTTAAGACAATGTATAAGTTGAACAATTGAATTAATATTTGAAAATAATTTATATTCAATAAAAGGAAAACGTTTTATTTGTATTAAAAGTTGCCATAAAAAGAATCTACTTTTACAAAATGACAAAAAGAAAAGACAAGCAAATCCAACTCACTAAGCAACAGCAATATTCCTAAGGTAAAGCGGCTCAAAATCAGCTACAGATAGATTGATACTAGATACAGATACGACAGATACCCGGAGTTAAAAATCGTGTCATATATTTACATCATTTTGAAATTATCCTGCATGACGAACTGCTTTTGCCTGCCGCCATTCCGTTTTTATTATTCCAAACAAAATCGTTTCGTTTGAGGCACACACACGCACACACAGTTAACAAAAAATATTGCAAAAAATTAAATTGAATTTCAGCTTGTAAAAAAAGAATCCCGTTGAATCTCCGGAGAATCTCTACCTCTTCTTCTTGTGACGCATCTCGGCCGGCGAGCGCACTGTGGGCGCCGCATGCATAATTCCAGACACCAGCTTTGTGAATTTTCGGTTGCCCCCCCCCACACGCGACGCACTAAATCCACCTGGGCGATGGCGTCTCCACCTGGGCAAATCCGAGAGCCAGTAGTGGCTACTGTGGGTGCGATGTGAACGGGCGCGCGCGCCACTTGAAAGTGCGGTAGCGCTGGGGGCGAGCATAGCCACAGTGAAGGTGGGTGGTCGGTGGGTTGGTGGGTCAGTGGGTTGCTGGAAAAAATTCCCACTATCTGTCTCTGCCTCTCTGGAATCTCACGAGCCCATATGGTGGTTGACCCATCCACCAGGCGAGCGAGCACACCGATCTCCACACCCTTTCAAAGGCTAATCCTAAAGCTTTAATATACTTTTTAGCCGGTGGTTAATCGTTTTTCAAGATTATCAATTAACCAGAGGTTAGTTAGTGAAATTTAAGCGTGTCTTATTTTATTTATTATTAAATTGCATGTGTAAAATATTCGTAAATAAATTTTATATTTACTAATAACCAAAAATATCTGTTAAAAACTGTTAAATATTTGTTAAAAAAATTTAAGTGTTGATTAATTTTAACCGAAGATCAGAAATATTTTCACTTTAACACTTCTCCAACGGAATATCAATATTTTCCCCATGGAACTAGCCCTTAAGTTGATCATA